AAAGACACGTTCTCGTCACCTCCTGTATGATGACGCAACAGCCCGGAGACGTGTTGATTCCCGTCGCGCGATTTTCATTCGGGAAACTCTGCGGCGTGAACGCTTTCCTGGCTTCGCTAGCCAAGTGGTCGAAAGCATGAGCTGCCAAAATCAAAATCGCGTGCTTGCGAAGGACACGTCAAAAAAAAAAGTTGCGTGTAGCCAGGTATTACGTGGAACGTGGCTTTCCGGGGGCTGATGTCTCGTTTCGCGGCCGATTTGGCTAATTGTCTAGTTTCTATTCGTAGGAGAGAGTCTATTTTTTTTCGAGTAAGTAGATAGATTTAAGACGTATATACTAGAGATTAAGCTTTAAAGAAGCTATCTATATAATTACTAGTAAGCTCTTAATAAAGATCTACGTATTATAACGCTCTAGTTTAAGCTAGTTACTAATATTAAGGCTAAGTATAGTATTGCTAATAATAATATATATAACTTTAATAAGATAGACTTTATAATAGAAGTTATATAGAGCTAGATAGTATTTATAGGCTCTAAGAAATAAGAGAATCTAAAGAGAGTATAGCCTAGTAACTATAGATAGATTATAGATATCTAGAGAGTTAGCGCTAGAAGCTAGGCTCTACTACTCTTTCTTATCTTCTCTAGTAAGGTTCTAATTATATTCTAGTTTTATAATCTACTCTAGAACTAGGTTATTAAAGTTAGTTCTAATAGCTAGATATTAAATAAGCTTAGTCTTATATAGCTAAAGCACTTTAATACTTATATAAAGTTATAGAGTATAGATGCGCACTAGCTACTAATTATAGATAGCTATAAGAAGCTATAGCTGTATATAAGTTCTATAAATACTATAAAGAAGAGAAGTATTATGTATTCTCTATATATCTTCTTACTTATCTTACCTATTATAGCTACTTAATATAGGTTACTTTTTACCTTTAAAGTAGGTATATAGTAATAAGATTAGTAGCTTAGCATAGTATAGCTTAAAGTAGATTAAGAAGAAAGCCTTTTTACTAGCCTTTAAAGCAGCTTTTAAGAAAGTAATAATAAAGAAGAATATCTACGCAAGCTTTAGAGGCGCTAGTTTAGTCTTATATAACCTAGAAGCTATGCTATTAAAGCTTAATATAGTTCTTTATATACTAACACTGCCTAAGATAGAGAATACCTTATAGAAATCTAAAACTCTAAGTAACCTTCTTAAACTAGAGGCTTAATTAATCTTAGTTTATAAGCATATATAACTATATAGAGACTCTTTAGTCTCTCTACTTCTTAGAGCTATTACGCAGCTTAATAAAGAGGCTATATTAATAAGTTATAAAGTAGTTTTAATAAGGCAGAAAGTAGCAGAGCTTTATAAGGTAGTAAAGATAGTAATAGAGGTTAGAGATTAAAAAAGAAAGTATATTTAGATAGCAGAGAGCCGTATGATAGTAGGTAAGATAGCTAACTTAATAGCTAAAAGAGAGAGTAGTAGATAGTAAGAGAGTAGAGAGCCTATAAAGAGAGTATATACGCAGAAGCACTATTAGAAAAAGTAAAAAGTATCTAGTTAGTAGTATTGCTATAATTTGCTATTAATTTAATAGATATAATAATTTAATAAAGTTACTTTAGTTACTTTTTTCTAATGTTAGGTTAATATTAGAATAGTCTAGTTACTATTCTCTACTATTTAGCACTATATAGCTATATTACTTAACTATGCTTAGTTATTAGACTTAGTATACTAAATATTTTATATACCTCTATAAAGAGCGAGAAGAGGTAGACTATATTAGTTACGCATATTTTATAGATTAGTCTAAGTTCTCTATATAAATATAAGCTATAGCTTATTAGGCTTACTCTATCTATAATCTTAGTGCTATTAGAGATAGAGTCTTATATCTATAACTATATACAAGCTAGTTCTGCATAGTTAGTAACTATGCAAAGATAGTATTATTACTCTAGAAACCTATAGTAGACTTAATGCATTTTAGAAATATAATTATATAGCTATTAATTGCTAATTTGCTCTATATTATCTATTTAACTATTATATAGTACTATATAGATTAGAGCAGTTTATCTTTTCTTTATATCTTTCTACTAGAGCGTTGCAGTCTTCTAGCTCTAATTTCTATTTATCTTTTATTAGCGCTAGAGCGTATATAATGCAATTATCTATTATATATTTCTCTACTAATATAGTAAACTTATTCTACGTGCTGTCTGTTATAATACTCTAATCTTTTCTCTTTATTCTAAAACTATACTTGCTTATTATTATTATATATTATACTTTCTATAAAGTTATTAGCTCTATAAAACTCTCTAAGCAATATATTATATATTTTCTCTAATAATTTGCGTAGTTATACTCTAGTCTCTTTCTATTATCTATTAGCTTTTGCTTTTATATTATATTAGGTATCTTATCTCTCTCTTATTAGCTTCTATATCTTTCTTATTACTATAACTAGTTCTGCACTTATTTATAGTAAGGATATTATCTTCTTATTTCTCTACGCAATTATAGTCTTCTATTAATATATTATATTATTGCTGCTTATTATCTATATATTTTATAAGAATATTATTAACGTTATTATTATAATAGTTATCTAGCATAGTAATATTAGATCTAGAGTTTTTAATATAGTTCGCGTATATAGCTATTTATTATTTTAAAGCGTTCTAAATAAGAAGATAGTATATCTTACTTAGCCTTTTCTACTTCTTATAGATAGCGTTATAATTATCTATACTATATTAGCTATTATTATTTAGTGCTGTTATAATATACTCTCTATAGTATAACTATAGAAATAGATTATCTTTCTTATTCTATTATTATAGTACTCTTTAATAGCATTATATAATACTATGCCTATAAGCGCTATTATATTAGCGCTTAGAAACTAAAACTTATTCTAGTTTTCTACTATAGCACTAATACTCTATTTTCTATTATTATAGAACGCTTATGCTATAATAGCTATAATTATACTATTTAGAAACTAGAGTAACATAGGCTATTACTCTATAAGCTAATGCTATTATATTCTAGATTAACTTATATTTCTAGAATCTTAGCGTAGGTAGATAATATTCTAGAGTAGCTTACTTAGTTTAAGAACTTATAGTTTAAGATAGTTTAGAGCATATATAGCTATAACCTCTATGCGTACTTATCTTATTATATATATCTATAGGTTACTATATATATCTAATATCTAATAAGTACTATTAGCTATAGTTATAGATAGTCTGTAACTATACTTACTTAGTAAGCTATACTTCTATAGAGCGTAGTTACTATAGATAAGCAGACTAGCAGAGACGCTATTTTCTAAGCCTCTAACTATATATCTAGCATTAGCTATATAAATATACTTCTATAAGCGTCTAGCTATAGATTAATAGGTATACTATATAGCGTTGTTCTATTATTTATTAATAACTATAATAATAATATTACCTAAGCCTTATTAAGTATACTTTTATATTTAGATTATACTAGTTCTCTTATCTAGCGTATTTATATTTTCTATAGCATTTAATAAAATAGGTCTACTAGATAAGATAGTAGAAGAAAGGCTTATATATATAAGTTAATATAAACTACTTTAGTAATTATAGTATCTTTGCTTATATTGCACAGAACGTAGTATATTCTTCTATATTTAAGAGATATACTGCGTAGCAGTAGTATTCTATTTTAGTTTATATTAACTAATTATTTTTATTCTAGCTTAATATCTAGTCTTTATAGATTAACTAGTGCATAAGAGTATAAGCGTCTCTTTATTAGAATTAGTATATCTTCTAGATTTATAAGTTTAAGACTATATAGAAGTTACTAAGTCTTATAAGTTTAATTATAGTATAGTCTCTTATAATAAAGATAGTAGAGTTACGCTTTATATAGTTCTTAATTTCTATAATTCTTAGTCTTACTATTAGTATTAGTATCTATCTTTAATATAAATCTTTATGCTCTCTTATATCTAACTAAGTAGCTACGCTTTCTTTATAGAAAGTAGTGCTATACTACTACGTACTTACTAGTTTCTTATATTCTTTACTATAATTACGCGTTTTTCTATATAGTATATAAGTTTATACTAGTAAAAGAAGTTGCATTTAGTCTATAAAGAAATTAGTTATATCTTAAAGAGTAATATTAGAGTCATCATAGATACTCTTAAACTTATTACGCTCTCCTATATAGTTTTATAAGAAAGTTATCTGCTATGCTATATTTATTCTAGATATGAAACGCAAACTAGGGGTATCATCAAAAAACAAGCTAGACCAAAAGAGGATGGGTAATTGCCCTCTACCATCAGCACAAAAAAAGCGTTAAAAAAGTATAAAAACACGTGATCTGGTGTCAGTTGATAGTCCTAAGCGAGGCCAGTGCGGGCACCACCAACTAACACCCAAACTCCTCAAAAATTGCCTCAGGCACAACAACGACCACCCCGCCCCGAGCCGGGCTCGAGGGGCATAATTTTTGTAATACGCTCAACCATAGAAAAGCAGTGCGCGCGGTCGCGCGCAGGTTAAGGACAGATTTCGCATCAGTGTCCGAGTGCTGCAGTCTTCCATCTCTTTACATCTTCGCATCGCTATCACCATCGCCATCGTCGCAACCGTCGTCAAACATCCCACAATCCAACGAACATCGAGGTGTGTCCTCTCCTCAGCGACCTGCTGCTCTTCCTAACACTCAACCTTGCCAGATCGCGTCATGTCGCCTTTAACACCATCGAAGCCCAACGGCCAATACGTCGTCAAGATTGCGCGTTTGAGCTCATCTGGATACGTCGGCTCACCAGCCATGTTCAAAGGCAGCTGGTAGATAGACAGCCATGCCGCTACGTTATCAATATTGCAGAATCAGTTCCGCGAGTCAGTCATCAGCTCCCTCGCCACCAACCACCTCCTCGCGCAATACAACGTCGGTCACATCATACCGCAAGGCAGTAGTGGCGTCGTATACCTCCATATCGTAGACGCAATCGAGGTGTACCGGCTGGGATACGCGCTGCTAAGTCACTCCATCCCCAGGAACGATCCTCATATAGATGAGGGGGCGATGAGCAAGCAGGCAGCCATGCTTACAGACTAGGTAGCAGGGTGTTACGCAGTGACGGATCCTCGTAGCCATAAGGAGGATTTCCTCAAGGAGCTTTAGGAGCCGGCGAGCATCAAATAGATGGCGATGATCCTAAGGGCAACGCATTCAATGTAGCCGCTTTTTTGCGGAGCACCTGCTGCCACAGGTGCCGAGCAAGGCAGCTTATCGGCAGCAAGCCCATCCATCGGATTACGGGGTTCTGAGGTATTAGTGTTTAATGTTTAATGCTGGGACTTACATATGGAAAAGTTGCTCGACGAGAGCAGGGGGGGCCGTTGCTATATTACATTAGTAAGATCAACTGGAGTACAAAATATAGTCACAAAATATAGTTTACAAAATTGGTGGCCGAAGCCAACCATGCTATATAATTAGTAGATATACTATTATTAACTATTCTCTAGTATTACCTATAGTTAATTTCTGTTAGCACGTCTTAGAGGCGCTTATCTATTGCCTTATTAGATCTATTTAGCTTAATTTATTTAAATTATAGCTATATTCTTAGCGTTATTAGTATACCTAATAATATAATATATCTATAGTATTAAGAAAAGAGCATAGCGTAGGCTTTAGCTTAATTTTTCTATAAGAACTCTCTAAAATATTTTTCTTAAGATATATATTATATTAATAGTTTAATTATAAATATAGCTTTATAGAGTTTCGTTATAACTATATCTTATAGTATGCTATGCTAGCATGCTTCTATTAATATTTATATATAAGTCTAACTATCTGCTATTTTTATATAGTAGTATATGCTACTGCGTTTATCCTTAAACTCTACCTCTCTCTTAAGTGTCTGTATGAACTGTGTAT